TATGGTGGCAGTCTCCTTTCGATGTATGAAAGTGGGTTGACTTCGTTTACGCAACTTGGTCGTGTCGTCAGGGCGACTTAGCTAGACGCCCGTTATAATTCCCAACATCGGACCGTGGACTTGGTACAGGATGTGTCCAACTAAGTCGCCTTGACAATACGACCAAATTGCGAAAAGAAGGTCAACCCACTTCTTAATGTACTTGAGTTGCATCGTGGTTTTCACCTGAAGACTCGCCTGTGTCTGTCGCCGGATTCACTTATTCGCGTTCTTGCATCAATAAAGCTGAGCCCCTTGGTCAGACCAACTGCTGCTAACATTAATTCTGCTTTCACTACTACTTGTATTGGGTTCTAGAAATGAACCCTGTTGCCGTTGGTAGCATTAACCTTCAAGAGAGGGCAATTCATTGTGCTCGGCCGATATCCCGTCTGCCTATCACACACAGACTCACACATACAAAAGCATATATATTCTGTGGGCAGGCACACATGCATACACACACACACACACGCAAAGTTCGGTATACAAATGGGAGCATCACATCTACTCGTTCGACAATTCCCACTTTTGTGTTGTACATTTCACTCAAAGAACCCGGGCGTCCCATCCTCAAGGATCGATAAAAGCCAACTGACAGGCTCCCTGAGCCGTCATGGATTGGCGGAAGCAGAGGTGGCCGGTCGCCCGGACGAGGAGCCTCCTCCCGCGGGGCTTTGGATGGGTCCAATTACGTGACTGAGACTAAAATGGACACGAACACGTGCGCATGTGAAACTCCAAGGAAGACGAGTACAAGCAGACACCAACGCACACACGCACACACACACATACGGATGCGCGAATGCACACTCAGACACAAGTGCCGCAGGCACGAGGCTACCAAATGGTATGACTAGCAAACAGGCAGTCAGGCCGGTGTATGGTGGCCGGGATATCGGAATCGGCCAGAGCCTGGGCCAAATGTGTGTAATTCGCAGAGGAGCCGGGGCTACATGGACTGGGTCTGTGATATGACCGGGGGCAGATGAGAAATTGTATGACCCCGCCCCAGCTCCAAGACGGAGGCGAATAGGACTGACATGATTAAAACGTCATTGAGGCTGCAAGCAACCCGGAGACAGCCAACTGGAGGGCGCCCACTCAAGGAGAGAGAGAGAGAGTCGGAGGCGTGGATTGAGGCCAAGCCAGGAACTGTTTATGGCCGGCCCTGTACCATCCGATCCGGTTGCCCCTTCGCCTCGAAACACGCCCCAGGCGAGCACTTTGCGACTCTCCAGCTCTCACATCGTCTCCAGGTCGTATTGCATGTGCAGTCCACCGTTGTGTCTGTTGCCGGTTGGGCAGAAAGTGTGGTCGTGGCAATAAACGTGTGTTGAAGCACATGTCCCTTTTCCTTCCTCTATCCAGCTATCCACCTTTTTGGCACACTCACACGCCCCGAACTGTGCTGTACCCTACGGCCTTTGCACACCTCTCGCCGGGCTCGTGCCTGGATCATTCAACCAGCGAATTAGGGGGACCCATCTCTTCCTCTGATCTCCCCTCTTCTCACCCCGGCGCGGAATCCCGGCCCAGTTGCCTCCCAAAAGCCCGGCTCCGGCTCACGCTCTCAGCCTAGAACAATCAATTAGACGCCTACCTTCGTCTGCTTACTCAACCTGTACATTCACGCACGCAGGCGCAAACCAGCGAACAGCATAGCCATTGCTTCACCAACTCTCGGCTCACTTGACAACCCTCACCGTCCCGGTCCTCAGCACGGCCCCACTCGTCCATCCCAGTCGTCCACTCCACTCTCGGCCCCACCAACCGTCCAGGCAGCCTGTCGGGCAGATGTGCTGGAGGGCCTCTTTGGGCCCATGTCAGACCGGTCGACTCAGCTCGGGTCGGGTCGGGTCGGGTCAGGTCGGGTCGGGTCGAGTAGAGTCCGGACGTTCTTTAGCCTAGATTGAGCCATGATTACATAAATCTGCAACCGTACCCCCGCCACCACCACCTCTACTACTACTACTACTACTACTACTACTACTACTACTACTACTACTAC